TGTGTGTGTGTGTGTGTGTGTGGTTGTGTGTGGGGGGGTTGTATGTGTGTGTGGTTGTGTGTGGTTGTGTGTGTGCGTGCGCGTGTGTGTGTGGTTGTGTGTGCGCGTATGTGTGGTTTGTGTGTGTGGTTGTGTGTGCGTGTATGGTTGTGTGTGCGCGCGCCTGTGTGTGTGTGGTTGTGTGTGCATGTGTGTGGTTGTGTGTGCGTGTGTGTGTTTGTGTGTGTGCATGGTTGTGTGTGTGTGGTTGTGTGTGCATGTGTGTGGTGTATGCGTGTGTGGTTGTGTGTGTGCGCGCGTGTGTGTGGTTGTGTGTGCGCGTGTGGTTGTGCGTGCGTGTGTGTGTGCATGGTTGTGTGTGCGTGCACATGCGCACACACACGCCTTTCTTTTTCTCCACCTCTCTGGCTCCTCTCTGAATCTGAGGCCAGATCTGCTGTGGAGGTGCTTCAAGTGGCGTGACAGGCAGCAGCCGTTGGCTTTCTGATCAGGAGGAGAGGGAGGGCTCGGCAGGCTGGGATGAGGACGGGAGCCAGTGGCCTCAGACAGCTCTGGGTGAGGGACGGGAGAGCAGCTCTGTCCTCGAAGTTGCAGATGGGCCTGAGCCAGGGTCAGGATTGGTCTCATGGGATGGCAGGGGTCGTGGGGGTCACTGTGAGGAACCTGGAGAGAATCATTTGTCAGGGCTCTGTGGATTCTGGAAGGATGGCTGGGTCCCAGCTTGGTGGTCTGCGTGGCAGCCCCTGCCCTTCTGGCTAGCCTTCCCCAGCAGGCAGCCTGGCAAGCTGAGCTACAGGGGCTGGAACTCTGCCTTTCTTCACAGAAGCCCCTGGAGGCCCCCAGGCTGAGCTCTCTGGGACAGTGTGTATGAGAGTCCCCGGATACTGCGGGACTGTCGGCCCATGTGGAAGACACTCCAGCTTTGTCAGGCTGCTCTGCCAGAGTCCAAGGAGGTGACCTCCAGGGCGAGAGAGGCCACTCCCCGAGCCCCAGGAAGGGGATGTTCTGGCAGCTGTGGGAGGGAACCGAACTCCCAAGGCCGCAGAGGAGACGGCCCGGCCCGGGGCCTGGCGTCTGCCCAGAGCAGTAGCGAAGTGAAGGCCGCCAGATTCACCGCAAGGTGGAGCCAGTCTCGGAGCGGGAGGGCTCGGCACGTGAGGGAGACGGGACTGAGTGAGGCCCGGGGGTGCCGCGTGTGAGAGGTCCCTGAGCGCCGTCTGCAGCAGCTGGCGGGGGAGGTCATTGAGAGTGTTAGACTGGCAGCCACACCTCCCTGCGCCTGACTTCCTGTCGGCAGGATCCACAATCTCCATAAAGCCCCTTCCCCTTGGCCTTTGCTTTCTGGGAGTTGGGGGTCCTGTGATGTTTGGGCATCTTCTCCTGAGTTGAGAGACCCAGGGCGTTGTCCGAGTGCAGGCCGGCCCTGGAGGTCAGGCGTTGGCTCTTTGTCTGTAGACTTAGGGAAAAGCTGGGGCACTGGGGGCAGGAGAGCTAGTGGACAGAGCTCGTCTGCTCTGTCTGTGCGTATTAGCTATTCAGCTGAGCAAAATGTCACTTACCCGACACCTCCAACATGCCATAAACTTTGCTAAGCTCTTTATATGCTTCATCCTGTTTTATCATGACACCCAACAAGATATTCAATAAACATTTGTTAAATGAATAATTCATACACTTATGATTATTGTGTGGAACAGTTGAGTTGATGGGGTTGTCCTACCAGGGGTTTAAAGTGGACAGGGACCCCAGACCATAGTTCCCAGACTGCTCTAAGCAGGAGCCTTGGGGCCGTGCTGAGGTGCCCCCTTGGCTGGAAGCCAGGGATGGGGGCCTGCGCGCGGACCCTTGCCTGCTTCCCCTGGGGTGGCTCTGCTCTGGTTCGGAGGAGTTAGTGACTGCGCCGAGGCGCTAGGAGGACTTCCTTTATCGAAAATAAAGCTCAGAACCTCCCCACGTTAGCTCAACAAAGGTGATGGACATGCAGAGAGAGAGGACCCCCAATTTCACATCCCGCTGGGGCTTCCTCACCTGGATTCCCACTGCTGGGACCATGCTGCTCCTCACTGGCGTCCTGGCCCTGGGGCCTGGCAGACCGCTAAG